ATCTGCTGAGCCAAAAATTCTGTTTTTAATGGAATTCAAAGAAAATTCTTTTTTACAAATTGCTCTGAGATTTGAGTAACATCAAATTCCTTCATTATTCTGACACTCTCTTTAGAATCCTTTAAGTCTTTTAGTTTTCTGTGGCAATATTTTTGTTATGTTCTCAGTTTGTTCATTTCTGGTTTTTAAAATGATCCTCTTTTATACCACTGTATACACACATAAAATAAATAAATGATAATTACACAAAAAAATCAAGAATAACAACAACAATATTAATTCACTTTTGTTTAATATGCCAAAAACTTACATCACTTTGTGTCCTCTATAGTTTAGCTTTCCTTCAAGCTGGAAGATTTTTAGTATTTCAGAGTATTCTTTAATTCAAAATTTGAAGGCCTAAGGTTATTTTTGTCTATGTTACTTCTGTGTATAAATACAGGCTAATAAATAACATTTGTAAACCTGTCTTGATGTAGTTCCTCCAAACAAATAATATGGGGTTATATAAATATATATATGATATAGAGTTTGAACATTATATATCTGTGTTTCATGCGTATATGAAAATATATATATATATATGTTAAATATATATATATGTATGTATTTGCATTTTATATATATATGCTAATATTTAATACTGATATACTTAAATATATATTTTAAATGTATATATAATGCTTTATATATACATTTAATCAAGAAAATATTTATATAAAATGTATCTCTTATATAAATATAGAAGACATATGTATAAGTAACAGAGGAAAATGAAAAAGATATATATATATATGTATAGGAGTAAAAAAACTACTTATAGTAATATATATATATATAATAATATATATATATTTATGTATATTAGTATATATTGAAAAATGCATAAAAGTATTTTATATATATATATATATATGTAAGTATATTTGATTTAGGAGTGAAATGTGAAATTATTTAGAGTTTGGAAATATATCAATAGATATTTGTTTAAAAAAGAAAAAAATTGAAAAATTTAAAAATTAAAAGACATTTTGTTTAACGTTTCTTCAATAGATATGCAGTATTTAAGAAATACAAATATTTCTAGATATTCACTATCAGTAAATTTTATTCAAATACATCTTTAAAAGGAACAGAAGTGATATTTAATATCTATAAAAAAGTCTAGTATAAAAATAAAATCACTTTTATATATATATGTATGTATATATGTATGTATATATGTATGTATATATATATGTATATGTATATGTATGTTATGAATGATATATGAAAGACAAAATATAATTTTAAAGCAACTATTATTTGAAAAATTTTTTCTGTTTTGTGTGAGATAAATAAAATATAGGATATATATATGTTGCTGGAAACAAGTTGTTTTATTTATTATTTGATATTAGCGAAATTTTGGTCGAAGTAAATTTTAAAAATTTATTACAATATTTGGATCTATATATATATATTGGGAAATATATATATATATATATGTGTGACAAGGAAAAGATGACATGTTAAAAAAAAAAAGGAATATCTTATAGAAATAGTATGACAAAAACTTATCTATTTAATCTCCAAAAAAAATAGAAATATATATATATATATATAAAATGGAGATAGATCAAGATGAGAATACAGAAACATTTTTTCACTATATTATTTTAGATCTCAATGCTAATTGTTTTAACTTTTCATGCAAATTCATTTGACTCATTTATCAAGAAAGATCACTTTGTAATACTACAGGGAATAAAAAAGAGAATGTTTAATATCAAAAACATACACAAACACAATTTGTTTTAATAAATAAAAATATATATGCTTTGCCTGAAGACTGTATGTGCATATAAAACGAAGTTGCAAACACACATATATAGGCACCTGTATCAAAAATATGTTTGGGGTTTTTTTGGGAATGTAAAAAAACCATGGGAAATTGTATTTAAACCGAACCCTTTTTGGATTAAATCCATTTTCCGGGAAAAATCCGGGGAAAATAAAATTCCCAGGTGTTTGAGTTTTAGAAAATTTTTCTGTTTTTTTCATCGTGGGGATTTTTTTTTGGGGGGGTCCAAAAGATAATGAGAAGCCACGATATTTCTTAATATGTAAATTTTAAAAAAAAGTTTTAAATTTTTTAAAAATTTTTTTAAATTTTTTATTTTATTAAAGTTAATTTTTTTCGAAAATTTTTTACAAAAAAATTAAAATTTGTTTTTCAAACCCCCGGGTCCCCCAAAATTTTTCAAAACCAAAATAACTGTTTTGTTTGAAAATTTTTTTTAAAATTTATATATTTTATATATATTATATATATATATATATATATATATATATATATATATATATATAATGTTTTATATCTGACAGGATTTTTATGAAAATTTTTATGGTAAATTATTCTATGAAAAAATTTAAAGGGAATTCCAATTTTGTTTACCCATTGGGTTTTTTTTGTAGCTCAAAAAGGTAAAGGAATTATGATATGACGGTTCCGAGTAGGATACAGGTTTACCCTGTTAAAAAAACTTAAAATTTTTATGAAAATTTTCGGAATTCAGGGGTAAATGTTATTTAAACGTTTATCATAAACAGACATTTGTTTTAAAAACATTATAGAGAAAAAAAAAATATTTTTTAAAAAAAACCCCCCAAAAAAAAAAAAAAAAATAAAAAAAACCCCCTTTTAAAACCCCCCCCTTTTTTTTTTCTTTAAAAAAAAAAGGGGCCAAAAAAATAAAAAATCCCCCCAAAAAAAAACCTAAAAAAAATTTTTGGGGAAAAAGGGAAATTTTTTTTTTTTAAAAAAAAAAAAAAAATTTTTTTTAAAAAAAAAGGGGAAAAAAAAAAAAGGGGGGGGAAAGGGGGGGGGGGGGGGGGGGAAAAAAAAGGGGGGGGGGAAAAAAAAAAAAAAAAGGGGGGGGGGGGGAAAAAAAAAAAAAAAAAAAAAAAAAAAAAAATTTTTTTTTTTTTTTAATAAAAAAAAAAAGGGGGGGGGAAAAAAAGGGGGGAAAAAAAAAAAAGGGGGAAAAAGGGGGGGGGGGGGGAAAAAAAAAAAGGGGGGGGGGGAAAAAAAAAGGGGGAAAGAGTGGGGGGGGGGGGAAAAAAATTAAAAAAAAATTTTGGGGGGGGGGAAAAAAAAATTTTTTTAAAAAAAAAAAAAAAAGGGGGGGGGGAAAAAATTGACTAACAACCTCTCTGTTTACTGACCTTCTGTTTCTTGAATGTAGCTCAAATAAATAGTTTCTTTCTACTCTTTATCTTATTTTTATTTCTTCTTTTGGTCCATCTGTGCTTCTGGTTCCTTTGTATTTAGGTAATAAGAGGAAGCAAACCTGAATCTATATGTCTTGGTCACCTTTGTCTAAACAGCTGATTCGAGCCTTTTCTTGAAGTCATATCCATTACCACCCTATTATATTTTTATATATATATATATTTTATATTTTAATGTATATATATTAAAATTTTATATTTTAAATTTTATATAAAAAATTTTTTTTCCCTTTTGAGAACCCCTTTTTCGTTGTTGAAGGCCAAACCCCTCGCTTTCTTCATCTTTGGTATTGCAAACAGTTTTATTGGTCTCTTGCTCAAATGCCCCCACACATAATAATCTAGGGGTAGCAGTGTTTGTTGGACAGATATAAGGGGTGATATGGTCGCATAAATTGTCTGACATTCATCACCGGGTTTTCCTGCTTTTGTGGCATAGTGCAGATTCCTGTTGCTAGACATATCGTCTTCCAGCAGCCACCCTCTTGACCCAGGGAAGCACTACCTCTTGATGGTACTTAATTTAGTCTTCCATGTTAAATTTTGCGACCCTGTGGGATGATGAAAGGAGGCATAATGTCACCATCTCTAATGTTCACTCCAAACACCATATCATCATCCAACTCTTTCCAAATCCACTGCACTGTTTTCAAATTGACACTCAAACACATTGAAATGTTTGCATCAGATCTTCAGTACAATATGCCATTTCCCAATTTCTGACAAAGTAAATTGTGTCATGGTGCTCTTTTTCTCACAGACATTGCCCAGCTGACTCTACTATAGTGTGCAATCAACAAAATCAAAAACAAACAATATGCATGTGTGGACTTAAAAATATAAAATGGTGACAATTTACTCTTTGTGGTCTGTATTTTTTGAGATCAGCAGAACTACTGCCAAATAAAATGGTCAACAGATAAAAAAGATATAATATTCAATGAATCATGATATGTTCAATAATCATATCTCATTGGCTGACTATAGTGTTTATTGAGTATATTATCCTGATGAGTGATTTGACGCAAAACTCTGAAGTCAGTCAATGAGATAGGACTACTGAACATTTACTGATAAATTGAAAATATATTTTAAATAATATAGCACCCATAAATAATTTTTTTTTTTTTTAAAATAAAGTGTTGGGAATTCAATTGATACAAACCACTTGACAATACAGAAAGGTTGAAAGCAAGGTAACGGAATCGACTGATCTTCTAATTTTTTAATCATGTATGTATGCATACATGATATCAGAAGATGAAAATTCAGGTATGGATGGAATGGCATTAAAATTCTTGATGTAGAGATAGAACAAAAGAAAGATAAAGGATAAGGGAATATCAGGTAGAAAATATTTGTACATTTTTTTTTTATTCCTTTTAGAAAAATGAAACTTACCCATGTTCAAATAACATTTAGTTAAGGACAGATGGACAATAACGCTTGAAAAGGCAAAATGAAAAGAAAAAACAAAGATGCAAGAAAAGGATGAGAAAAGTGCATTGGCACAGAATAAGGGATAATCTAAGTTATCAAAACTCATGGAATTTTCAGAAATCCAGCTTGTTTCAATAAATAAAAACCTGGTAATTTTGAGTCTTTATTGTGATTGTATTTTGAAAATAATTGTTGGATTAGTAATCATTTGTTATTTTCAATTTTCTAATTAACCTGTTCTCTGAGAAGAGAGAAAATTTCTCATTTTTGATGCTGTTTCATTTCAGTCTGCAAGAGCTGCATTGTTAAATACCTCCAAAGTAGCAAATGCTGTCCTCATTGTAAAAAGCAAAATTCATGAAACCCAGCCCTTGGCCAACTTGAGAGCAGATCGTACTCTGCAGGATATTGTCTACAAGTTAGTGCCTGGACTCTTTGAAAGTAAGTGAATTTAGGATGAACTACAACTTTTTTTTTTTCATTTTTTTTTAACCATCACTAACATGCTCCCATCCAAGAGTAGCCCTTTGAACATCATTCTTGCTAAGCTTTGGCAGTTATACTTCTCCCACCCCACCACAAAGAGAAAAGGAAATGCTTTATTTTATTGACAAAGTAAAAAGACACCATTCACTCACAATAATAAATGCATTATTGACAAATTTCTTTACACATTTTCAAGCAGACCTGTTGATTATAGTTGCTTTTTTTATTAAAGTTTTACTTAAACTCTTAATTTTATGGCATTGGGTATATAGAAAAATAAAGATGAAAGTAAATACAAGCTAAAAATTGCTGGTAATGTTTCATCTAATAAAAATTATACTGCTCCTACTGATAATATATGTATAAGATGATGCTGTTGTAAGGGAGTTATAACTGAGTAAAAAATTATAAACCTCCTAACATTTATATATACAAAAATACTTGAAAAATGTGGAAACAGCAAGATGTGGAAACAACAAAACTAGTATTATTTATTATCTAGTTTTTATGTGGTATTGGAGACATAAAAGATGGTAATACTGAGTAAAATTGTTACTTTGGGGTCAAATATGGATTGGAATTTGGCAGAATGAGATAAAGAATAAGCAAAGTGTATACAGTCTTTCTCGTAAATTTTTTTTTATAGATGCTTGTAATGGGTGTCCAGATAATTTAGTTGGAAAATACAAGAAATGTCTGTGGTTTTCTTACCTCAAATATTTTGTTGAGTGCTAAAAGATAAATGTTACTATTATAACCTGAAAATGAGACAAAATTTTCATTTATGTATGTGTTAATGACCTGTCCATGTGAACTGCTTGTCCAATAGTGAGAATGTCACATGTTTGTGTGTGTGTAGAAGAGAAAAGTGGGGTTGATTCTCATTGATTTAGAATGAGTAAATTAATGATAATTATAATTGTTATAATTATTTTATTATAATTATTTTTTACACATAATTAATTTTTATTTATTTTTTTTATGGACATGACACTTTGAAAGAGTGAGGTCATAGAATAGAATGATGAGTTATAAGTTTGATCTGTTTGTTTTTATCAGATAGTTTAATAGTTATGCAGCTGGATATTTACCAAATTCCTCAGAGTCAAAAGGGGTATAAGATCAAATAACAATGAAAACATTATTTCCAGTCTGAGCTGTCTACAGTAATATGGTAAAAAGTTCACAAACTAAGAATTGGGGTTGAGACACAAGAGTAAATTCAGATAAACAAATGTAGTGTCCTGACTTCAAGACAAGACTGGGATTGAGTCATGTGAAATAGAGAACTGGCTAGGAAGAAATCCCAGTTTTCTTTTTGTATGCTTCTGCCTATAAATTGGGGAGGGGAAACTATTTTGCAATCATTCCCATTGTGTTTCCATATTTTTCTTTTTACTTACTAAAATAATTAAAAATATTAAAATTATGTACATTTTGAATTTTTTTTTTTTTTTATTTAATTGGATTTTTGTAGGTTCCCTGTGAATACATGGTATTGTGGTAGATTGAATGGTGATGGATGAGTTCTTGTGGTAAATGAGTAAATTGTAATGAATGAATGGGCCATGAATCAGATTAGCTAGGTTTAGGAAAGTTAGCATAGACCAGCCTCACCCCACTTCCCTTTGGCCTCATGCCAAAATTGTAATTTAAATTACAATAATCATTCCCATTGGGTTTGAAACCAATGAATAATGAAAGAACCACCTTAGGAATAAAATATTTGTTTTTCTTGTGATGGTAAGTGATATTTTACTGCAACCTGAATGTGATCCTCTTTTACAGATGAAGAGAAGAGACGTGAGGAGTTTTACAATTCCCGTGGCCTAGGAAATGAGAAGAAAGATGGTGAGATTTACTTCTTTTGAAATCTTTTTTTTATTTTTTGTGTGTGTATGGAAAATAAAATAAGTATCAAACAAAAATTTCTCCCAAAAAATAGGTTACTTTCATAATCAACAATTAATTACTTAATAGAATCTAATTGAAAAATGATAAGGAATTAAAAAAAAAAAAAAAAAAGAAATTTTAATCATTTAATTAGTTTTTAAATTATTTTCACAGCATTTACATCAAGTTTTTATTTCAGCTAGGTCAGTGGTTCCCAAACATTTTTTTTCTCTGGGCTTCATTTTCAAAATGAAAATTTGTTTGCGCATCATTAAATTTTATATGATAAAAAGTACATTTAAAAATAAAAAAAAAACAGAGAGGGTAAAAGGGAGGTAACTGCTGATTCAAAGTCAGAACATTATCATTGATAACTCTCTCCTCCAATTTATAGAGCCTAGTTACTATATTCTTAATACGTGATATAAATCAAAAACATCACAATGATAAAATCTGTCAATAATTATTTATAACTATTTATACTGGGACTCATGCATATTAATCCATAATAATATTTTAGATTATGAAATCATTTATTTTTGGCATATGAATTTTTTGAAACTGTTTTTAAATCTTTGATTGCTTTTCAACATTCTGCCATCCCTATAATGCATGCCACACCATTTGGAAACCACTGATGTAGATAAATAGATAAAAAAACATATTTCCAAGGCAATAAAAACAATGTCAGATTACTCTTGAATGCTACTGATACCCTGTAAACCAGTATCAGTACTACTTGCCACATGTAAACCTGTTTCCCCTTCAGGCTTTTCTGGTGGCTAGATAGCCAGTAGGATAAAAATACCTTATCAAAGAGCAGGTGAACTTTCTTGTAGGGGTCAACAGTCATCTAGCATATTGTGTTAAGCTGGGTTCCATAGCTATGGATGCAGCCAAGGTGGTGATGACACTGCATTACTGGGCTTCCTAGACTGAAGTCAGTGACCAGAGCAGAGGATTCCCCCAATGGGATCAACAGCTATGTGTCTGTGACCAAGGTGAGCCTTTAAGTTGAAGTACATCAGCTGTGTTTGACCTGAAGAGGGATGCTCTCTGCTAGGTCTACTAGCCCCCAAAATGCTGCATATGAATGAATGCCTCTCTAACTTTCAACCTAGGTATGTGGAGGTGAGTTGCTCAGCTAAGTTGCAACCTTATGACCACACCCAATCATGGGACTGATCATGATGAATTAATGAATTAAATTTTATTTGAATGATCCTAAAGTTTTTTTAATAAATGTTTTTATTGTATTTATTATTACTAGCATGACCTGTTTAATTACACAAAATAACTAATAAATTTTTTAATGCAACACTCTGTATTTTTCAACCCATGACCTTTCCTAGATAGTTATAAGAAAAGTGACATTGTTTTTCTCAAAAATACTGAAATATCCTCAACAGAAAATTAGGTCATGAAACTTCACTACAAATAGCTGCTTTTATCTATGTTGAACCCCTCCAGTCACTCTCTATCCTACTCTCTTTTTGTCTCTCTATCCTACTCTCTTTTTGTCTCTCTATCCTACTCTCTTTTTGTCTCTCTATGTCCCCTCACTCTTTTTCTGTTTTTTTGTCATTCTCTTTCTGTTTTACTCTCTATGTCCCTCTCTCTCTCTGTTTTACTCGCTACATTTTACTCTCACTCTCTATATCCCACTCTTTCTTTGTTTTACTCTCCCCCTCCCTCTGTTTTACTCTTTATGTCCTTCTCCCCATTTTACACTCTGTCCCTTATTCTTTGTTTTACTCTCTACATCCCTCCTTTCTCACTATGTCCCCCCTCTCTCCCCTTGTCCATCTCTCTTTCTGTTTCCCTCTTGACCAAGTGTAATAAGTATATTAATATATAGTTTATGATAATGTTATATCTGAGCATGATAAAAATAATTATTTTACAAAGTTTGACATTTTAAAGATGCTCATTTATTTTTTTTCCTTGCATTCATTGATAAAGAGTAGCATATTTTATGTATTGGCTTCTTAAATTATATCACTGATTTCTTATTGACAATAATTCCTTCTTATCTCTAATATCAACAGTCATATTTGATTGGAACATTCAATTCAGCCATTCAACTCATGCCAATTAATAATACATAATAATTAATGTTTTTATTTTTTATTTTTTTGTCTGATTCATTCATTTTACAGAATTGTTTTCATCCAGCATTGAATTTGAATGTAAAGATATTTGTCACAGTGAAGAATCCATTTATTAACTATTGTACATTCATCAGATCTATTCAGTATTGATAGAAAAAAATGTGCTTAAATAATTATCAAGTTCAACTTTTTTTTCTTTTTTTTAATTTGCTATACACTTTTTTAATAAAGTGGTTAAAAAAATAAGAGCAGTTTATGCAAAGTATTTTTGCAAAATAGTAATGGTAATATTAGATGTTTCCTTATAAGGAAACATTTGGCATTCATTCACAAAGCAACCAGTGATAGTGTCAGTTGAAATTTCTAAGATCTTTCTTTGAAAACCTTTTTTCAAGTCCATTGTAGGTACTTTCACAGAAAATAAGATGCCTAAGGTTTAAAATGAATTTTTAAAAATGAAAAATCTTTCTTGAAATTTTTATTTTATTTTTAATTTCAAGCTAATAGATTAAATTTAATATTTCCAATAAGCAAAATACTTTGCTGTATTTAAAAACTATTTTAAAACAACTAGAATGAGTTTTCCTTCTTTCTTTCTCTCTCTCTTTTTTTTTTTTTTTTTTGCTAAAATAGCCAATTAGCACCATTTTTACCAATCTTTCATCGCAATTTAATTCTCTTTATTAAAAATTTTCCAAAATAAAATATACTTTTCTGAAACTTATTTAAGGAATATTTACTTGATTTTAAAGTTTAATAAACCTGATTTGAAACTTATTTTTGTAAAGTTGGAAATGTTATATCATTGTGCTAATTCCAAGTGAGGTACTGATAACTTAATAAGCCTTTATTAACAATAAGGTATAACAATACCAAGACAGTGAATTTATGTGTTAGGCCCAATGCTGTTGAGCATGTAAGTTGGAGTGTTTTTATAGTATCCCTGTGCCATGGTGTTACACTGGTTATATGTAGGGAAATAGTTCCATGATTCTGCTACATACCCTTCATCAGACGTGTAGAGTTGTTGTTATGATGGTGTTAGTTAATTCTTTTCTTATCATTGTTTGTACCTTGTTGGCCTGTGTATTTTACGGCCTGTTCTGGTTGTATTTGGGGGGCTATATGTATTCCTTGTGTTGGTGTGTTTTTTACTTTGTGGTGACATGGTATAGTCATTGAAATGGATCTGTTTATCAGTGGTTGTTGTTTCCCTTATTTGAACTCTTATTTTGTCTCTTTACTGATCCATCTAGGAATTGGATAATGTATGATCTTGGTTCAGTACATTTATTCAGTACTTTTGCTGGTTTCCATTTCCCCGTTTGATTGTCCAGAGTGTGAATGGTTTGTCTAGGGACCAGTGATGGTAGGTCCTTCACTGTTTTATCATAGTATGTTTTCTGCTTGTCCTGTCTGTTTTTTAACTCTTCACAAAGGTGATCAGAGCTGGGGAACCTTGGAGTTGGGATTTTTGAGATTACATTTTCAGAACACATTTGTTTAGTAGTTCAGCTGGGCTTGGAAAGTTGTGACTAATGGGTGTTGCTTGTAGACACAGCATTGCTAGGTCGTAATCTCTTCTTGCTTGTTTAGCCTTGAATAATGTCCTTTTGACAGTTTGGATCTGTCTCTCTATGAAACTGTTCAATCTTGGAAATTTTGGCAAAGATGTAATATGATCGAATTGCCATTGTTGAGCAAATTGTTTGAATGCTTCACATGAATACTGAGGTCTGTTGTCACTGACTACTCTAGTAGGAATACCATGCTCTGAGACTGTCTGTTTCATTGATGATATGACCATGTTGCTCATGCTCTGGCCTGTCATTTTTCAAATGATGGGGAATTTGCTGTAGTAATCAGCTATAATGAGGTATTCATGATCATTGAAATGGAACAAGTCGGTACCAACTATTTCCCATGCTCAACTAGGGATGTCATGTGGTTGTAGAGTTTCCTTTGCTTGCACGGGGAGATTTTCATGACATATTGAACATTTCTTGTTCATGCTGTTAAGTTCTCCTTTTATGCTCTTTATTAAAGTGATCATAGTTTTACAAGGTGCATCATTGTGTGGTTGTATGCTCTTGTTGACTGAGAGCTTCACAGACCCTGGCTTATATACTATGTCTGTCCGGATTGGTTGTCTGTCTTCATGTGAATTCCTATTATGTTGTAAACTGTTGCCCAGTGGTTGGCTTTTCCACATGCATTGCATATTGTCCCAAATGCTGGGCATGTTTCACGGCGAAGTGCATGGCTTTTACTGCAGTTTAGTCATTTTTTTCCATTCTGTGATCATGTTGGTGGGCCTATAGCTTGTATCACTGTTTCTGTCTTCATTGTTACTGTTTTGTATGACTCTGAGTTGCTTTATGTGGGTGTTGGCAGCTTCATAAGTTTTTCCAATGTTGATCAGCTCTTCAAGTGAGAGTTTATCATCCTTCTGTAGCAGTTCTTTCTGGAAGTTTGCAATTGGAGTGCTGGTGACGATAAGTTCGATTATCCACTGTTGCTGTTCATTTTCTGACAGTGCACATTTTTGTGTTAGTTGTCTGCATCTATTGACAAAATCGTCAATTGACCCTTCGGCTTTTTTTCTGTATGACATCAATTTGAAGTGATTTACCCTGGATTTTTCTTTTGGTTCCAATTGCTGCAAAGATTTTTTTAAAGATACTATCAAGAGAATGCTTTTCTTCCTCTGTGAGGGTCCAAGAATTATACCGTTTTAGGCCTTCATCTTCTACTTTAAGAAGTATGTGGCTTACTTGCTGTTCTGTTCTAATTCTGTTCACCAAAAATAGAGTTCCATTTTTGTTTAAACTATTTAAATGTTTCAGCAGTGTTAGGAGTATTCCAATCCATACAGGGAATGTCGTTAGCTTCCATGTTATAGATGAGTAAATATGCAAATATGAGGATAATACACAAACAATCTTGTTGAACCACTGCAAGCAAGATGTACGCATGTGGTATAGGGAAGGAGAATGTTTATACTAAGGAACAAATATGGCAGAGTCTCCATTAATGATACCACAATATAAGTAAAATGTTTGTTTAAGAGTTTTTTTTCTTAGAAAGTATGTATGAATTACCTTGTTAGGCAATTTGGTATGTTTTGGAGGGTCAGTTGCACTTCTTGTTACTGTTTGCTGTGTGATGTTTTTTATGTCATTTCAGGTTGTTTAGTTCCAATGACTGTTATTGTTGTTGTTTGTTTTTCTTTTGATTTTCTTTTGTTTTTCTTTGAAAAAGTGTTTTTTTTCCACTACCATCATGTAAACTTGGTGATGTTATATTATCGTGCTAATTACAAGTGAAGCACTGATAACTTAATAAGCCTTTATTAACAATAAGGTATATACAATACCAAGACAGTGAGTTTGTGTTAGGCCCAATGCTGTTGAGCATGTAAGTCGGAGTGTTTTTATAGTATCCCTACGCCATGGTGTTACACTGGTTATGCATAGGGAAATAGATTCATGATATTGCTACAATTTTAAGTTTAAAATATTGCAGAAATGCATTTTTTAAATATGGCAGTAGTTGTTATTTATGTAGCTGTTGGCAGCTTGAATGACAAATGGAAGTTTATCTAATGTTTTTTTACGATGGTTATATCTGTAAAAATAATTAAGTCATATGACATGAGCACCTTTTTTATGTCATTTTTAAGTACTCAGAAAATATTATCCATAATGTAATGTTTTATCAAATTTTAGATACTTTGGCTTTAAATTTACTATAGTTATCACTTTTATTTTCAGATAATGTCATGTATGAACAAACATCTCAACAAAAATCAGCACATTTATACACATACAAAAAAAATTCAAAATTCTTTTTAAAATATTATTGTTTGATGAATTGTACTAAGCTTTTCTATTCATGATTAGTAAATATATTTTTTACTTAATATCCCTTAACAGGAACAAAATAATGCATAAATTTAAAAGATTTATAACTTTATAAATTATTCTTATTAAATTTTTTTAAAAATGAAAACAATTCTAGTAAAAATTCATTATTCAAAAATTTTTTAAGACAATACTATCCATAATATATCTTATTCATAAAAACAATTAAAAGCATATTTAATCAAATAATGTCTTAGTTTTCATTGTACTTTTTATTTTATGATTCAGAGCAGATTTTTGTTAACTTGGGTTTCTGTTTTACAAAAAAACTTGATGATTTAAATTCTCCAAGTATTTCTGCTTTTAACTAATATAAACATTAATTGGAACAAAATTTAATTTTCCTAACATTTCTTAAAATTAAATAAATGCAAACAGATGCAAAAAAAAACTTTTTACCAAGATTATCTAAAAAAAATAACAATTTCTAAAATAATTTTATTCATTTGTGAATAAGTTCAGAAAGTTTCATTAAAATCCAACAATTATTTGATGTTTTTCAAGAATTTCCAAATCAATGTGTTTTTCACCACAAAACAGTCTCTAAAATTTTCTATCTTTGGTGCCATCTGCTGACACGAAAAAAACAAAATTTTTAACCAAAATTTCAAATGTAGAACATTTGAAATTTTGGTTAAAAAAAAAAAAAAAAAAAATGATCAAAAAAATATAATTTAAAAACCAAAAAATGTTTGGTCTTTCCTCTTAATAATAATATAATGATTTTGAGAATAAAACTTCTTTTTTAAGTTTGGGGTAATTTTTCACCATGGCATGCTCATTTTTTAGCAAATCTGTGGAGGTACCTGGACAAATGTCATTACTCTTCCCAAAATTAACAAGGGTTTCCTTCCTAATGTTTTGTTAAGTAGTGAAGAATGTCAACATGTGAATTATGTTATTATTTTCTCATTGAGTTCCATGTGATATCCATTTTAGTTGTCACTGCTGTTGAAAGTTCTCAAGTGCTGTGGTTTCAGTTATTTAGTAGAATTCTTTGTGATTCTGTACTGCCAGTTCACAAGGTTAGATAGAATAAGAATGGTCTTTGCTTAGCGCTACAAGTTTTCATTTTACTTTTCTTTTTTTTTCATAGGAATTTAAAATTTTTGCAATTTTTAGCGAGTTTAAATTAGATCAATTCATCATTTTGCATATATAATTTTAAGTTGGTTTTTGATATACATTTACATTTTTCTTTTGTAGGTGATGAAAAAACTTTGTTGAAGCCATCCACCATAGTCAACAATCCTGAAGGTCATAAATACAAATATGATGAACAAATTTGTCTTTGCTTAGAGCGATATGGGTGAGTATGGCATGTTGTTACATCTTTTAAAATGTTTTAACTCTAAACCATGACAATCATTTTTTGTTTGGAAATTTTTTTAATCATTTCACCTCAATCAAGGCAATAAAGCCTCTAGGATGCAAGTGGTTACTGTGTGTGAAAAGAATAAAAAAAAAAAAGAAATGCATTAAGAGAGAGAGCAATATAAAGGAACAGTGATTAAGTAAACAAAAAAATGATAATTGACATTGCATTTAAATTTTTGAAGATCAAAGTTCACTGGAAAGCAAGAAGTCAGAATTGATTTCCACAATTGAAAAGTTAGAGAGAAGAAACACTTAGCATAGAACTTAGTTACATCTTGCCATTTAAACTGTAAAATGATGAGACCTAGCTGGATCTATATAATATATATATATATATATATATATATATATATATATATATGTGATAAAAATTATTAGGAGGATTTGAGATAATTATAATTAAGTAATTCATCAAGTCTACAAGAAAACCTCAACAGAATGCAGAAAGCACTGGACAGCCATTTCATTCTATATTTGGGACTCATCAGCAGTGCGCATCCACTACTGAGAATTGAAACCTGGACAGTTATGTTATCAGGCAAACATCATACCAACGGGCCTCAGTGACGAAATATATATATATTTAGTTGGATTGATGTGAGTTTGTGACCCTGGGTTTCACACCCTTTGCGATCGTCAACCAAACTGATTAATTTTAAAATTTTGAATTTATTTATGGTTGCATATATTGGCATTTTATAGTAGTGGAAGGAAAAATTGTCATCAGAATGCCACTCATACATATGCAGACACACATACACACATGTTCACACATTGCAGCTCATACTATTCATATATGTTATGTTTTGTGAACTGCAATGCATGAATGTATGTATGTATGTGTGTCTGTGTACATATGAGTGGCAGTCCAAAGACAATTTTGGTTGAGCAGGTTGTAACCCAGTTGTAAAGCGGTCACAATCCTGTAACATGCCACTTTGGCCCTTACCTGGGCTAGACGGGCGGTCGGAGTGGCCCGATCCGATCAATCGTCTGGTCATGTCAAGCCCCATCATATATAATCCATCCCAAACCTATAACTGACACTCCTCTTCCCAACCAAAACTAACACTTAACCCTAAATATGTGATGGAAGGCGGTGGCTGAGGGTCAATCAATTTGGGAGAAAAAAAGGATCTGACACACTTGCTAAACCTTCACAGCCGTAATATTGGAAAACGGAAACAAAGGAACATGCATGCTCAAAGACTCCTCCCAAAGAGAGTATATCATTCACATAGCCCCGACATGGCAAGGCGAATGGGTTTCCCCCTTGTCATGTCCCAATACTGGACTCGCGGTGGGTAGGGGGCGTGGATGATGAACAAAAAAAAACAATCAATGGAAAAAAAAGAAATCTTCCAAGAGACCACATGTGGATAACGACTTGGAAACAGAAAATGATAGTGAAAACTTTCCACGATTTATTGTACTTGAAGCAATAAGCAAAAAAGCATTAACAGAAATTTCTCCATTTAAAATATAAAAAGCAATATCAAATATCATTATACCAAAAAATGTAAAAAAATTACAAAATGGAACATTACTAGTAGAAGTGGAAAAAAAGATATATGCGGACACATTGATAAGACAAAAAAAACTACAAGAAATAGAAATAAAAATCCTACTTACACCAAACCCTAAATTTCTCAAAGGGAGTAGTAAAAAGCAAGGAGCTCTCCCTGTGCACTCTAGAGGAGATAAAAATAGAACTCCAAACTCAAGGAGTTACAAATGTCAAAAGAATAACAATAAAGAAAAATGAAGCAGAGATACAAACTAATACCTACATTCTAACTTTCAACTCCCCCCAAATTCCGACAACAATTAAAATTGGATATGAAAGTATAAAAGTAGAACAATATGTACCAAACCCTCTTCAATGCTATAGATGCCACAAATTTGGGCATCACAGAGATTCCTGTAGAAATAAAAAAATATGTGGAAAATGTAGTGAGAAAGAACCAGAACATAAAGAAGAGGACTGCCCAAACCACTCTGCCCTCTCAAAACAATGCAGTATATATAAACAGGAGAAAGAAATAATTAGAATAAAATACAAAAAAAATATATCTTTCATAGAAGCATGAAAGGAAGTTAAAAATAACATAAAAGAAAAACACCTATGCTTCCATGGCACAAAAAAGCAAATAAAATAAACAATGAAGATAAAATAAAAGGTTCAATTGAAATAACAAATTTATGCAAGGAATTAAAAGCTTTCCTTGAAGAATTAAAAACCTTTTAATCGAACTTAAATCGGATCAAAATAAAACTCAACAACCCAGATCAAATGGAATAAACCCAGAAGAAGGCAAAAACTTTGGAAAGAAAACACAGAACAAAACTCCAGCGAACCTCTTTCCCAAACCCAAACTAAGAAAATGAAAAATAAACAAAAAGACAAAAAAGTGACAACAGAGCAAGAAAGCACTCGATCAAGATCTAACTCAAAATCAAGAATCAATATATCAAATGAAAATAAATTTGAGCCTATGGAATATATGGAAATAGAAGAGAAAGAAAATAAACAAAATTCAAAACAAAACCAAAAATCTGACCGAAGGACACCACAAGCAGTTGAAGACAAAGCTTCTAAAAACTCAAGAGATGGAAAAAACTGAGAGGACAAATGATATAAACCTAGTAGGTAACTTTACCCCCAAAAATGAAAATATAACCATGGCACATAAGATCCTGCAATGGAACTGCCGTGGAATAAAATCTAATTACAATGACCTACTCATACTTATGTCACTACTGTATCCAGCCATCATCTGCTTACAGGAAACTTGCTTACAGGAAACTTTTTACAAGAAAATGCCAACTTAAAAATTAAAAATTATAAACAATATCACTATAACCACAATACAGGATATAGAGCTAATGGAGGAGTGTCAATATTGATTAGAAATGACATACCGCAAAGTAAAGTACACATTAAAACTAAATTACAAGCAATAGCAACACAAGTGACACTAGATAAAACCATCACAATTCTTTCCATTTATATACCCCCACAGGAACCAATAAATACAACTGATGGAGCAACTTCCTAAACCTAGAATCTTACTAGGAGATTTTAACAGTCATAATCCTATATGGAATAGCAAAAAGCTAGATACTAAAGGTAAAATATTAGAAGAAATAATTAACACCCATAACTTATGTCTATTAAATCATAAATCCTCAACCTACCTTAATCCCTCCAAAGGAACAGAATCGTCAATAGACTTAAGTATATGCGATCCAGAAATTTGTATGGATTATACATGGAAAACACATAGCGACACATGTGGCAGTGATCATTACCCGATCATTCTAGAAAATCAATAGCCTGCCAAGAAAGAAAAAATAGGCCCCATCAGAAACTGAAAAGAGCCAACTGGGAGGGTTTCAAAAACAAATGTAAACAATTACTGATACAGTCAAAGGACACAGACAACTCGATAGAATACTTTACCAAAACATTAATAACCATTGCCTCAGAAAATATACCAAAAAAGCAAAATAATTATAAAAAACTAAACCCTGGTTTGACAAAACTGCCAAAAAGCAGTCAGAAAACCAGGAAGCAGCATTATGAAAATTCAAAAGGAACCCACAACCCAAAATTTGATTGAAATGAAAAAACTCAAAGCAGTAGCACGGGAAAACTGTTAAAAGAAGCCAAAAGGGAATGTTGGAAAAATATGTAAACAGCCTAAATACACATTCCCAAAACCAAGACAATATGAGAAATGATGAGAAAAATAGCTGGAAAAAAATCAAATATACCCAATAATACATCTTAAAAAGGACAACACTAAAGCAACTAGCAAAAAAGGGATAGCAAACCTACTAGCAGAGACATTTGCAGAAAACTCTAAAATGAGCAAAAAATCAAAACCTACAAAAAGTGTAAACAAAAAAGATATAAATAACCAACTAAATTTTTCGTCTAAAAATACAGAAGCCTACAACAATCTATTCACTGAAGTAGAACTAATAGAAGCCATAAAAAAATCCCATAATACAGCAGTAGGCCCAGACCAAATCCACTATGAATTTATTAAACAACTACCACAAGAATCGCTGAAATACCTTTTGAATATTTTTAACAATATTTGGACTACTGGGAAATTTCACAAAATATGGAGAGAATCGGTAATTATTCCCATACTCAAAGAAGGAAAAGAGGGAAACAATCCACAAAGTTACCGACCAATAGCATTAACAACCTGTCTATGTAAGACAATGGAGCGAATGGTCAACGCCAGATTGAGTTGGTTTCTAGAAGAAGGAAAACACATATCAAAATATCAATGTGGATATAATAAAGGAAGAAGTACAATAGATCACATAATAAGACTAGAAACAGCCATATGAGAGGCCAATTTAAACAAACAACATCTAATAGCCATGTTCTTTGATATAGAAAAAGCATTTGATCAAACCTGGAAACATGGTATAATGAAAGATCTGCATAAACTAGGATTAAGAGGTCAACTACCAAACTTTGTAAAAGGATTTTTAACAGATAGACTCTTCCAAGTACAAATAGATGCTACACATTCTGATTATCAAAAGCAAGAAGTGGGAGTACCACAGGGAAGTGTACTTTCCCCTACACTTTTCAAAATAAAAATAAATGACATAATAAAAAACATCAAATCAGGAATACACTGTAGCCTTTATGTTGATGATTTTACAATATATTACAGATCGAGAAACCTCAACACAGCAGAAAGACAACTTCAACAATGCTTACATCAAATAAACAAATGGATACTCAAAAACGGTTTTAAAATATCAAAAACAAAAACAAAATCTGTACACTTCTGCCAAATGAAAAAATTACACAATAACCCAACTCTAAAACTAGGAAATGAAGAAATACCAGTAGTTCAGCAATATAAATTTCTAGGAATGATCTTTGACAGCAAACTTACCTTCAGACCACATATCAATTACCTAAAAACAAAATGTTTTAAAGCTCTCCAACTACTGTGAACAGTAGCCCATACAGAATGGGGAGCTAGCAAAGAAACCCTTCTTAAACTTTATAGAACGTTGATCCGCTCCAAACTGGACTATGGCAGCATGGTCTACCAATCAACTAGAAAGTCTTATCTAAAAACAATAAGCACAATACACCATGAAGGCCTTCGGATAGCTCTAGGAGCCTTATCCCACCTCACCTATAGAGAGTCTACATGTAGAGGCAAATGAACCCCCATTACAACTAAGAATGGAGAAACTAGCAACTCAATACTATCTAAAACTCTCTTCCTGTCCTTCTAACCCCACACACGACTGTGTACTTACACCAAATCACAAAGAGAAATTTAATCTTAACACAAATAAAATCAAAACATTGGGACTCCGAATGGAAGGAATCATCCAAGAAAATAATATACAGTCTAATCAAATACTTAAAACTGACCAATCAAACATACCACCATGGATAATCAAAAATCCAAACATAATATTAAGTTTAAACAAATTATCAAAATCAAAAACACACCTCACAACATACATTGAAAAATTCTCAAAAATAAAAGAAAAATATCAAAACTACGAAAGTATTTACACGAACGGCTCAAGAGATGAAGAAAAAACAGGCAGCGCAGCAATAACAAAAAAAACAATTATCAAAAAACGCTTGCCAAATGAAGCATCAATTTTCAATGCAGAAGCCTACGCAATAAAACTAGAACTAAATTTCATATCAAAAAACAAAGGAGAAAACTATATTATTTTCTCAGATTCATTATCTGTATTAACATCCCTAAAAGGGAAAAGACTGGAAAATTTATTAATACAAAGTCTTCTATATAAACTACATTCAATGGAAAAAAGCAAAAATATCATCTTCTGCTGGATTCCTAGCCATGTTGGTATCCAAGGAGGAGATAAGGCAGATAATGCTGTTAAATCATCTTGAAAATTTGACAATTGATGAAAATCTTCAAATTCCATATACAGACTTAAAATCTAAAATAAATAAATGCATAAGAAACAAATGGCAAAATTCATGGAAAACCAAACCGGAAATAAACTATTTCAAATTAAACCTAAAATAGGAAAATGGGGGAAATAATCTTGGAAATACTCGGAAAAAAGTCGTCATAACCAGAACACATAGGACACACATATTTAACCCATTCTTATATATTAAAAAAGACAAATCCACCAAAATGTAGATGTGGAAGCGTAATCACAATAAAACATATTCTATTGGAATGCAAAATCATAACTAGAATAAGACAAAAATATTTCAATGGAAAAGATTTAAAAGAAATTTTCAAAAATACAGACACAGAAAAAATATACAGTTTTCTCAAGGAAATAAAGATCCTCAATAAAATATAACCCTTTCAAATAGTGTATATGTATGTGTATATGTGTTTATAGACATATATATGCATGTATGAATGTAAATATTAAAATACACTATCAAAAACAGTCACAAGAAAAAGCAATCCCAAAAAATACAGAAGATTATGAAACTGAACAGCCTTTCAACCTTTTATACAAAATAACCATCTTAAATTCATAAATTAATAAAGCTTCGGCATAAATTGACCCAAATAGGAGTTGACATGCCGTTAAATCCAACATCCATCCAATGACAATTTTTCCTCCCGCTACCATAAAACACCAATATACGCAACCATAAACAAATCCAAAATTTCAAAATTAATCAGTTTGTCTGACGATTGCAAAGGTCATGAAACCCAGGGTCACAAACTCACATCAACCCAACAAAATATGTTAGTTCTATCACTGATATTAAGTGCTTTCCAATAAGTACTGCACATATACAATACATAAATAATATATATAAAAATTGCTTATATATATATATATATATATATATGCGCCAAAGATATCTATTCATAAAATAACTTATAATTAATCTCATGAATGAAAAACAAGTGTCTTGTAGAAAAAGGTTCATTTAATATATAAAGTCTGTGTGTACGTACAAATATTATGCAAAATTTTTGAAGATCAAATTTGACTGTAAGGCAAGAAACCAGAAGAGAAGTATGAGAGAAGAAACTTTTAGCATAGAACTTATAGTTATGCCTAATAACAATTTTAACTGTAAAACGGTGAAACCTTGATGCCAATCTAGTTTTGTGCTGACATTTATAAAGTCATGATACAAAAGAAGAAAGCTCATCAAAACAATTACCATGAAAATATAGAAAAGTCAGAGGAAAGCTACATTACAGCTGTGGGAAAGTGACTGAATCCAAGATGTTCAGTCAGGACCAATAACATTGCAGATGCTTTTGATTTTTATCAAGAATCTCTAAATACACAACAGAATAACCAGACCAGATGTGACAGCAATATTCAATGCATAGATGAATGGTAGACATATAAATGTGTAAAATAGATTCTGGAGTCATTTCTGCTCTCATATACATTAAATATATATAGGATTTTATTTTACTAAGTTTTGTTTTTATATTAAGTGCATTCTAATGTTCGTGCTGTCCTCATTTTTTTTCTTCTCTTTTTTTATAATGAGTGATTGAAATATTTAAATATAAAATACTGAAGACATTTCTCATGCATCTATAAATATGAGGTAGCAAGAAATTGATATAACTTTTAATGTCAATAAATAAAAACTTTGAGAATGCAAATAAATTTGCTATGGTGAAACAGAATCACTTGATAAGTACAAAGTGTTTATTTTATTTTTCTTTATTCATTCATAAATCCATCCTTTTCCAACATTTTATCTTTCTCAGCAAGAAATTACTCAGTGTTCCCTTTGTAGTCTTTCAGAGGAGTGAATTTTTAAACAACTTTATAATGATCAAAATAATTAATAATCCAAAGGTGCCATATCTTTTGACAAAAACTTATTAGTGGCATATTCTTAGCTAATCTGTAATATATTTTTTTATTTATATGCAGCCTTGATAGTATATTCAGCCTTTTCTCTTAATTAATTCCCAGTGCATTTTGTCAGTTGCTACCTTCAGTTGGTCTAAAGAATGTTGATATTAATTGGTGCAAAAGAACTAAGACCAAGCATTTTGAATTAAAATTATAAGCTCCAAGGGCCATCAACCTGATATTTCAGTTGGTAGAAATTTTCTTTTAATTTTCCTTCCAAAATGTTTTGCTTTTTTATATTTTCAGGCCCCAATGTGTACAGAATGGTTCCTACCAGTTGAGGCCATTAGAAAAAAAGTTTGTGCGATGTTCCATCCGAGTATTGGTATCTCAAGTGAAATCCCTGCTACGGAAAAAACTTTCTTTACCTTCAGATTTAGATGTACGTCTTTTTTTTTTTGTCTTATTTTTTTTTGTCAGATTTATATTCTCATAATCTCAAGTTAAAAGACTTCTTTTTTACTCAGAATTTTTAAATTGATTTTTAACATTGTATTAGTTGTATTAACCATTAACACTCTGCATTATTCACTACTTTGCTTTCCACTGCATTGTTTTTCAAGGCTCCTCTACTGCACTACTTAATTTCAGTCATGGTCATTTTCTGTTGACATAGCAGGATATCACAGCACAACTGCAAAATGCAAACATTATTCATTAATCTGAGTCACTTGCAGTCGCAGGATAAGATTTTTGCTTTGCAAGCAAAATTAACTCCAGTATATTAAAGGTTCAAAAAGAAATTAAATTTTAAAAACTTAGTGAAAAACCAAGTCAGAACCCAAAAAAATACTAATTGTATTGTTTTGAATTGATTTAGAACAAGTATAAAAATGCATATATGATGGGATGCTAAAAAATTTCTTAGGAGGCATTAAAAAAAAACACAAAACTGACATTTTGTCAGATTTTGGAAAGTGAGTTATACTGAGAATTTTTCAGCACTTTGTAGATTTAGCCATTTGAGTTTTCTATTAAGCACCTCACTAGAAATTTTACCTAAAAAAAAATAGAAAACTGTACATGTAAATCTGCAAATGAGATATTCTCTTATTTTAGTACATTAGAAATAACAATTAAAGTCAGAATATTTTTTCCTATTTCTTGTACCTGCTAAATAAGGTATATAGAAGATTTCTATTAAGTTACTTATTGATTATTCTCTTGTACATTAAATATTTCTATTTTTCTGTTTCAGTTGGATGTGCTGTGTCAAGAGGAGAGACTCCTTGAAGAGATGAGCTTGAAACAGTTATTCCTTATGCACTGGTATGACAAAGTAAGATTCAAACATTCCTTGTATTTTTGTGATAGAAATGAGAGCAAAAAGTCAACATTGTCTCTTCATAGCACAATGTTTTTGGGGAAATATAAAAATTTCATAAAATTAAACAAGTGTAGGTAACAAATGTAAAAAAAAAAAAATATATATATATTTTTACCAAGATTTTCTAAAATAATTTAATTCATTTGTGTATAAGTTCTGAAAGTTTAATTAAAATACAACAATTATCTGATTTTCGCAAGAATTTCTAAATGAATGAGTTTTTACTGCAAAAAGACACTCAAATTTCCCATACAAATTTATGGCCCTATGTTGACGCCAGAAAAACAAGATTTTTAAACAAAATTTTGCCTACTCTATTATGAGAATAGCCATCATCTCTGCATTATAAAACTAAACATCTCCTGCTACATAACATTGTTAATGGTACCTACAATCATAGTTGTAAATATTTGTTGACAGTATAATCCAGATTATTTATTTTTAAACTTTATAAAGTGCATGAGAGCAGAATGATTATTTAAAAAGTTTCAGAGCCGATGCTATTTTGGTTCACCATCCATATAACTATATAATCTAAAAGTCATTTCGGAAAGAAAAGTTTGTCACACGCACGCCCAATAAACAAGGGAGACAATTTTGATATAAAACAAAAAATTTTATTTAATATGTTCTTTGCAAAAAATAAAAGTAAAAACGTTTGTGGATGATTTGTTATTCTACATTTCTGTGATAATTGGAAACAAATTTCATGCAAATCAATTATAGAATTTGGAACAAAAAGTTTAATCATTTCTCATATGCAAACAGACATTTCATGTGAATTTTTTCAAATTACTTCTCTAAATTGGATAACTATACAGTTACCTTATAATCTTTTCCAAAATTTTAGGATATCGACAGAGTAAGAGATTTGTATTAATTTTATATAGATTTCGTAATTGTGGAATTTTTTTTAATATATACTTTGTTGAAGTAAAAGCTTTAAGATACATACTATTTTGTTTTGTATAATATAATGAATGGTCTTTGATATCTGACATAACTGGTTTGTATTGTGGGAAGGAGTTACTTAATTCTGATGAATAATTTTAAAGTTCAAAGTAATGTTAATACCTTGTGGAAAAAAAATATTGTCTTTACTTAGACATTGAACTTCTTCAAAGAAGTTGGTAATTTTAAAATGTAACTTTGAGTGGTTAGGATACATGTTAATGACACTGAGAATTGTTTTTCTTTGTTTTTTTTTTATTAATTCTCAAAAATAATTTTATGCATTTTGCATGAAATTATTTTTGAAAATTACTTTCTTTTCAAGATTTTATGTTTAAAGTTAAAATGCTAATTAGAACATTAGATGTGTAAAAATAATTTTTAAAAAATGACATATTTTTTTCTTTCTTTCATTTAGGATTCTCCAGTTGTCTTATTTTACCGCCTCAAACAGCCGGAACTTGCACAAAATGAACAATTATCATGAAAGTCAAAAATTAACTTAAAAAAGTTAAGGTTTTTAAATCCTTTTTGTTACATGTGTAGAAATGTTTAATGATCAGACAAAGGTTCTGCCAGAAGGTAACAAAACTCCATCTGAAACCAATGGTTTGTACCATGAGCTACTTGAATGAGTCAGTAGATACTGTCCTGTAAAATCAGGACAGTATAATACCTCATTGCCAGTGTATGTAAAATTATCACTGATTTGTGAGACTTGGATATTGGTCTTTCTACCAACAAAAAATATTAAAGTAAGAATATGGAATATATTTTTTTATCTGTACTCAATGTGTTTATATATATATATATAATTTTTTTTATATGACAAGACAAATTATTACAAAATTGGAAAAAATACAAAACAATTATATAATTTTGTGAGAACTTTTTCAAATTGAATTAAAGATATAAATTTTATTCCAAGTATAAAATTGTAGTAGGTGATATTCAGCCACTAAATTAATTGGATAAATTCAAAATTTAAAAAAAGTCTTGTAAAATATGCCAATAAATAAAACAAAATAATGTAACCTTGATGGAAGAAGTGAATAAATGTTTTAAATAATCTCAAACTTCTTTTAGCATTGAATTTATGGTTTAGGTTTTCATTTTCATATGAATAAAAAGAAAAATCTTGTCAATGCAATCAGAACTTTTTTTTTCTCCCCCAAACAATCATTTTAAATTTTCTTTTTTCTTCCAGTCAGTGTGTATAGATTTTTTTAATGTTTAGGTTGACTGGATTCATATTTAAACATGAAAGAAATATATCTAAAAAGTAATTTACCTTTTCAATTTGATTTTTCTTTTTTTCTTTTTTTTAATAAAATAAAATTTTTAAAATTCTTTAAGCTCCCTCAGATCTGTTGTTATTTTTCTTTCTTTATTCTGTTTAAACAGTATGCTTAAAATTAATATTTCAGCAACTACAGTTTTTCCCCTTTTGAGAATTAGTAATATTTTAAAGTTACAACATTTTATAAACAATTTGTGCTCAGAAATAAAGTTACATTTTTATTAATTTATTGGTCAATTTCATGCATGCATATGATTATTTCAAGTATGCACAACAGAATAAAAGAATTAATAGAACAAATATTGAGCTGCATTAACAGGCTGTATAAAATCAAAGGAAGGAACACTGATAGTAGAGAAGGAAAAAATACTCCAAAGATGGAGTGAATGTGTCAGAGAACTATTTCATAATGAGAGAGAGAAACCTACAATAGACAAAAAAAATGGAAGGGCCAGAGATATTAAAGTCTGAAGCAAGATCGGCATCGGTCAAGATGAACAAATCAGTATTGCCAAATGGGATAGTAATAGAGATGCTCACAGCCTTGGATGATTTCAGCATCAATAAGATCAGAGAAGTAATAAACGAAACATGACAGTGGCAACATGCCAGAGTACCTCAGTTGATCCATCTTCATAGTGTTAACAATGTGCAAATTAATCTGAGCTCCATTGGACAATTAGCTTAATGAGTTATATAACCAAACTAATGATATGAATCCTGATGAATAGAGCATGAGTAGAATTAGAATGGAAATCAAACAAGGACACTGGAACAAGAAATATGATATTTATGATTAGAGTGATATCTGAGAGAGCAATATAAATGCAGAAGGATGTATGCTTATGTTTTATAGATTACATAAAGGCATTTGACAAGATACAGCACAGAGATCTGTTTGAACTGTTAGGAAAACTAAATCTATTTGGAAAGGACATTAGAATAATTCAGGACTTATACTAGGAGCAACAGTGCTTGAAAGATGTGACACTGAAATCCAAATGCACATCAGATTAGTGAAAATGCATTGTGAATGCTAAACAAAGTATTAAGAAACAGGAAAGTTTTGTTAGAAACAAGGAAAAGATTGTTGAATTGTTATATGATATCAATCCTCTTGTATGGCAGTGAATGCTGGACAATCTCACCATAGATGAAGAGGAAACTGGAGGCAACAGAAATATGGTTCTACTAAAGGAATAATCTACCCCCATAGGTTAAATAAAGGGTCTAGTTCGGAATTCCCTGTAGGTTACCCTACATATGAAGAAGGCTGGAGGGCACAATGGCTGCAATGTTGAAGATGAAGACAATACACCAAATATAAATAGTGTAAATGAGTATAAAATGTCTTCATTTTTTAATTTCCAATTCATTTCTATCATAAAATCTTATCAAAAGCTTTTTTATAGTAAAATCAGCAATATATTTACAAGGATAGGTTTTATATTAAATTCTTGTAATATCTTGTCATGTAATTTCTTTTTTTAACTCTATCCATGGTTTCTACTATCATTTCTAAACTGGATTCTCACAACATGTGGATCTGATGGTATCCCTGTAATAGTCCTTAAGAAATGTTCTACTGAACTGTATCCCATTCTCTCTTAACTCTATAATAAATGCCTTCTTGCTTTCCTGCTTGTTGAAAATCCTCTTCTGTAGTTCCAGTTTTTAAAAACACAGGCAAGCTATCTGATGTTTCTAATTATCAGCCTATTTGACTTCTACCTCTTTTTGGCAAGTACTAGATGCTCTAATTAACTCTGAATTGATTAGGCATCTCACCTCGCAGGGTTTTCAGATAAGCAATATGGTTTTTGCTTCACTAGGTCAACTGTTGATGTGTTTATGATTATTGCTGAAAGACTCTATAATGCTTTAGACAAGAATGGTGAAATGTAGGCTGTTGCTTTGGATATCTTGAAGGCATTTGACAGGGTTTAGCATACTGGTCTTCTTCACAAGTTGAAAGGTCATGTATGGTATTTCTGGATGAATTTTTGAACTGATTCAGTCTCTCTTATCAAATCACAAAAAGAAAGTTATTTTGAATAGACACTCTTATATATCTTTTTGGATAAATGCAGGTGTTCCCCAGGGCTCTATACCTATGTTGTTTCTAATTTTCATAAATGCCCTTCCAAATATCATCAGTTCTCAACTTGATATTTATGCTGATGACAACTATTTACTCCAATCTTAATTGAAAAAAATGATTGGTTCTATAAGGTTAAATTGGCAGCTGATCTCAAATGATCTACAACCTTCTTAGGCTAACATTTTCAGCTGACATGAAGTGGAAAAAGTATATTGAATCAATTGGTAAGAAAGTTGGTCTACCATGTCATGCTAGACAATTTTTCTTGCCAGAATCTATCTTACATATTTATAAGTCTACCATTCCTCCATATATTGAATATTGCTGCCACATCTGGTGTAGTGCTCATGGAATATATTTTGAGATTCTTGATAAAATCTAAATCCAAAGAAGAATCTGCAATGTTACTGGTTCTAATATGGCATCTTGGCTTCAGTCCCTTGCCCATTGCCTTAATATAGCTTCCCTGTGTCTTTTCTACAAATACTTTCATGGTGAATTTATACACAGTACTAGATTAGCATTAAGGTTTCATCATTTTACAGTTGAAATGGCCGCTAGATGTAATTGTAAGTTCTATGCTAACAGTTTCTTCTATCACACTTCCCACTTGTGGAACTTTCTTCCGGCTTCTTGCTTCCCAATCAACTTTGATTTTCAAAAATTTAAATACCATGCCAATCGTTATCTTTTATCTTTTTAATTCTTGTTCTTTTATTGTCGTCTCTCCTCAGATAGTAGTTTTTCTCATGTTCTCTAACACTCAGTAATCCCTTGCATCTTAGTGGCTTCATTGCCTTGCTTGGAGTTAAATGATTTTTTAAAAATTCTAAACAAATAACTGTTTCTCAATGGAAATACAAACCAGAAAAGACAACCATTCTTGAGATATTGTGAATCTTAAAAACGATCAAATTCAGTCTAAAGTTAAGAATTTTCCTTTATTTGTAACTGACAAGTATAAATCTATATTCTATACCCACCTATAGGTCAAATAGTAGGACATGTATCTGGAGAAATTAGAGAACTGAGCTTGAATTCCAAATCAGATCTGTCAAACAAAAACAATAAAAGGCTTTCTTAAGTGAAAATTATCAATAAAGAAAGAAAAAAATCATTGCTAAGTAGGCATCTTCTATTCATCATATAACTAAGACATTTTCTGTTACTTCTAATATATGAACTCATCTGACTAGTATCCACATCATTGTTTTCATCATAAAGTTCCAAATCCAAACTTTCCCAATTGACAAAGTCAAGTTCTTCATTTAGTTGTTAAAAATTTCTGTAAACAAAAAAGTTTTGGGTAATAAAAATCGGGTTTAACCATCAATTCTATTCTAACAGTTTCTTTTCTCACATTTCTCATCTCTGGAACTCTCTTCTGATTTCTTGCTTTCCTGCCACAAACAATCTTTAAAAATTTAAATGCAAGCCAATTGCCATCTTGTCTTCCTGAATCCTGTTATATTATTGTCCTCAATAATGTTTTCTCAGTTTCTTACATTCTCAGTAACCCCTTGCATTATTACATTGCTTGATGTGAAATAATTAAAGAAAAATGGTCCCCCACTCTTTATTAGTATTTTAGGTTTCCTTGGTTTTAATCACCTGTAGTTAACCCCAGAAATAAAGAATTTTTACGTTTTACTTAATAATGGTTTCCAGTATGTGGGATTAGTGCCAATTGAGGTATACCAAAGATAAACTATAAAGTGCTTCCATTAAGTGAAAAGATTTAAGTTTTTAATTTATGTTGATTATCACTCCTGCATAACATCATGCATGTGCTTCTGTATATATCAAAGTGTTGCAAGACTATTGCAGCAATATAACAAAAGTTAGAGGTGTTTCAGATGGATACTGAAAGTTTTCTGGCTGAAAACAATCTCCAGTGAAAAGCTTAGATGCAGAACCAGTATAGAGACCATAATAATTATAAAGATTTTGGTGGAAATGGCTTGGAAACACCTGCAGAATGGCCTCAAGCTCACTACCCAGGATGGACATCACAAGGTAAAACAAATGTGGCAAACTCAAGGAGATCTGACATAGAATGGTAGATCAAGAACTTGGGCTAAGAACT